ATTTTGGCCAATTTTTTCAAATGTCACAAGAAAGAAAATAGAAAATGTGAATTAGACATGCTTCCATCATATTGCTTGGAGCGCATCAACCAAGCTACGCGAAACTTAAGTTTGTCAAATGTTAACGAAACACGACTGCAGTAAAAAAAAAAGTAGTAAAAGTTGCGTCTCCCCTTTAGCACATTAATTCTAAATTCAAGTGAGTGTCTGCAGTGATGCTTGAAAATTGCTGCCTAGAGATGCTCTTCAGCCAACCTGACTGGCTTTGAGACATTTTACAAACAAAAATACACAAATACATTAGCCTCTTGCAGCTAAAACTGCAGCAAAAAAAGTATTTTTTTTATTTTACAGCAAAACAATAAATACCAATTTTTGAATTAATAAAAACAGCATTTGTCTCCTGTGTTTCAGGTTATTGTTAAGTCATGTCAAATTTATTTGTATAGCACATTTCAGCAACAAGGCAGTTCAAAGTGCCTCATTGACCACTGTGACATTATCCTGACAGCTTTCTACAGAAATGAGATCAGTACAAACCGATCTGAATAAATCTTTACCTTTTTGTTCAGTTTCAGCATAAAGCAGACCATCAACAAAGAGTAAAAGTTTTTTTTTTTTTTTTACCAAATACCAGACAACTGGTCGAGAATGTCACTCACTCCATCCATCTTTCAGCACCACTTACACAACACATGCGAGCCTTGTTATCGGCCCCTCTGTCACGCCAAACGTCTAACATGTTGTGGTGTGAGCACCACTGGAACAACTGGATGCTGATGGATGAACACTGACAGTCCATCTCTGTCAGAGGGCTGCTCCCAGTCCCTGGGAGTGAATCTCAAGCAGTGTCAGCATGGCCGTGGTCAGTCCACTGAACAATCACGCAGGGCACTTGCAGCAGAAACCCTCATTTGCAGCAGCGCAGCATATGCACACAAGGATGTGGATGAAATGCAGGAGGTTGATACACACATCCCCTTTTCTGTGTGCAGAGACAGCAACTTTGAGAAACCCGGAACAATAGTTCAACCCAACTGATATCTAATTCCAATGAGATTCCCTGGCTATTAAAGATTTCAGCGGCACCAAGAATGAGACAGAAAACGGGAATGAAAGGCATATGAAGTCTGCACACCTTAGGGAAAGTCATTATTGCAGGCAGTGCAAACCCACGCAGACTCAACATTGAATAATTACTGGAATTTTTTGGGGTGTTACAATGCAGGGAATGCCACTCTTACATTAAGAGTAGAAATCAATGGAACAGTTGCTCCATCGAGGGTCCCTTGAGGGCTAATAAAGCCTTTATAGGTGATTTCTCATTGGTATCTATCAACACAATGTTGTGGAGTCAAATTCCAAACTCTTTCCTTCAGTCCAGAAACAACAGAGTATTCCCATCTGAAACACAATACCCCACAAAAACACCTCGTTAAAACAGTTATCCAAGCAATGGTCCACATCTCTGTCTAACTTTTGGTTTTCAGTTGTTCAAATTAAGCTAGGTTAAGAAAAGGTAACAGCAGTCAGGGGAGGCCTTTCTGCAGCACTCATGAAGACGAATGCCCAAAATCCAAGAACCAAAAACCAAGCATCTACTAAGGGGATAATCAGCCATTTAATCTCCTTTACTTAATGAATCTTATCCATTTCAGCCATTTTGTTTTTGTTCAGTTTAGTGAAGGAAAAAACAGGGGGGTACATGGGGAGGGAAAAAATAAGTGTGTTTGAGAAAACTCATTTATTGAAAAAATATTTTTTCACATTTCAAATACATATTTCTGTAAGAAATGAACACATTTTACTTCACTTGAAAAATTAAGACAATAAGAGGCAACTCTGCTGCTTCAAAATAAATAAAACAGCATTATGTTGTGGCAAAGGTAATGTTTGACACTTTATATTGTTTTACGACTTTGTATTCTTGTGCTTTTATGATGTAAAGCTCTCTGAAGCGTCTTGTTGCTGAAAAGTGATACACAAATAAAATGGATTGATTCATGGATTCCAATTCAAAGTCATTTTGTAACTCGGGGAGGTAAAAACTATACACTTACTTTTGATTTCAGACAGACGCAGAGGTAACATGGCAGTCATATTGGAACTTGTTATTCTTTTGTGCTATATTTTAGGTTCTATGTTTCTGTGTCATTTAAAAACTAAACCAGTGCAAATAATACTAGGAATGAAACTACTAATACAGTGCATTCAAAATAAATAACCCTGATTTTTTGCAGCTGAAGTTGAGGTAAGTTTTAAGTGTCTAAACATTTCAAATGCCTTCTGGACTCAGAATCGGACCAAACTAAAGCACACAATAATTTCACTCTGTAACCACTTCACCTCTGACCTGTGCTCACAAGGCAATATTGACTTTTTCCTATCAATACATGACCAAACAGACCCAAAAGAGCCACCTAATTCATCTGCTTTTCTGGACCATCTGGAAACACTCCACTGAACCAAACAATCCAACAACGAGGGTAGTTGCATGTGTTGACAAGTGCAATAAAACGCACAATCGAACGCGACCACCACAACAACCATTGGCGTTGGCATATGCATGGATTCAGAGTCCCAGTTAATTGTAATGACGCTACAAAAGAGCCATTATGCCTAATGTGAAAGAGTCATTTAGTTATTAAATATGGCTCTGCTCATAAATACCATATATTGTATTTAATTAGTCTCGCAATGAGTTACTGTATTCAGTCCATAAAGCTAACAGCTTGTTAGTGAGCTACTGTTGCCAATTTATTATTTGATGTAGACTGTAATTATGCATTTGGTTTTCAGCAAAACTGATAATCAGTTATATCTCGCTGCTCTTTTCACAGTATTCATGAAAGTCTGAGCAAACACCCGACTGAATCATCTTTTTGATTCACTTCGAGACATAATAGCTTAGCCACTTACACATCACCATTCGGTTTCTACTACTTTTGCACAATTATAGTTAAAATAATAATATTAATTTACACTTCAAGCACCATTTTGTGACCGTTTTCTTTTGGCATATAAATTTCCCCCCATCTCACTGGCACAAGGAAAACAATAGGCAGTGGAAGTGAAACTCCATTTTTTCTCTATGCATCTTCAAGATCAACTTTTCAACTGTTTTGATCATGAGATGATCATATTACTTTTTATACAAATACAAAAAATGAGGCAGCATTCTAAAAATATATCTAAATACAGAAATTTGTGTTTGCAAAACGAACACACTCAATTTAAAAAAAAAAAAATTGAATATGAGGTTACGTCCTACTAGAAATGTGCTTTGAAGAGCATCATAAAAAAAAATTAAAAATCGAGTGTTTTTTGGTAATTCACCCATACCGCTGTACCATTATGAAAACAGGATGTGCAAATTAAGAATACCAGGCATCTCCCTTTCACTCTGACTGGCAGCTTGGATTCACGTTGGTGGTTCCATCGTTAACACACCAGTATTCATGTCATGAAAAGTTTCATCTCCAAGTCTTTTTGCACTCTATTTTCTTTTTTGACCTGTGCATTTGTTCAGAATTGATGTTCAATTTTCTGGCATTTAGAACCAAAATGAGTTTCACATTAACCCTTGGTAACCCCTCTCACTGAGAAATTGGATCTTTCGGGAGGCGCCACTCTCGGTGCGTATTGAGTTAGGGTGGGCAAGTTTAAAGATGTACACTGTATATCCTTTCATTAAGTTGTGTACTCTTCACCCAAGACACAATTAAGGAAATTAAACTGCAATTATAGCCAAATTACAAAACGGCGCTTCTATTGTGGAGACGGTAACAGTCTTTGCAATTACCTGTCAGCTTTCTAAGCATGTGATGCATGATGACTATTTTTAACCTCAATTGCAGAATCAAAAGATGGTTTTCCATTGTCAAGTCTCACTCTAACTGGTTAATATCTGGTTCGGTTCTACCCCAGTTACAGTCTCTTCTTCACTACTGTGGGTGTGAACATGAGCAGCAGCGGGGGCAGGGCAGGATTTTGACCTCTGATGATTTTGTTTACGATGGCACTCTGCAATGGACAACCTCCAGGTTGTGGTTTTGATTGACTCAACTAATCCCAGGTATTTTATTGTGCTTGATAGAACTTGATTGCTGGTCCAAACATAATAAAAATAGTTCAGGTTCAGATTGTTATATCCATGTAATTATCTACATGACACTTTTTTTTATTTTTGTAAAAATGAGCAATCGTTTGGATTCAGGTAATGCAGTCAAAATGTGTAATGAAAAGCAATAGTCCTGCATGAACTTTAATTGAAAGAAAATTTCAAATAAAGTTTAAAAAGCACATCACAACAAAATAATAGTACGTACTCCGGTAGGGGTGTTTACATGACAAATTCTTTTTCCGATTGGTTGTTTATCCTGAATAATTGTTTGTCCAGTGGATAGGTTTGCCATTCTCTGTAGACTAGAGAGACGTTGTGAGGCAAGTCTTAACCACAGTTGGCTGTTTCACTACATGGCTTAGAATAAGTGTACCTAGAGAAGTCTTCTGAGAATATAAAGGAAGGACAAAATTCATTGAGACATGAAACACTTTGACTGTAAAAACAGTGAAGCAAAAACAATTTGCCCAGAACGAGGTCATTTTAGCATTCATTTTAATTGAATGGATTAAATAAAGTTGTTTTAGCATTCTGAGAAAATTAACTAATATGTACCATTTCAGGACATGATTGGTACTGCATGACTTCTTGCCAACAAGAAGACATCTACGAAGCTCATTTTACACTTTTGACATTAAGCAGCACTTCTCTAATTTCATTTTAATTGAATGGATTAAATAAAGTTGTTTTTATTTTTCATTTCTTGATCCTCTTACCACCTTCTCTGAACACCTTGAAGGCTTCGATGAGAAGCGTTATGTAGTAATTTATAAAAGCGTCACCAGTATAATTTTGCAACTGTGTTAGATGTAACAGATTATAACGTAGCATCATCAATGCACTCATGCAAAGGCTTTAGGTAAGGCTCATTAAATACCTGAGCCCCTCTTTGAGACCACTTTCACACTCTTGGACAGGGTGAAGTACAGCAGGATCAGGAGAGGGCTGGGAGGTCTCATCTTCCTCCCCCGTCCTCAAAGCCTGAAAGGAGAAGAGTAAAAGAGGAAAAGGGAGAAGGGGTGAGGCGTTGGCAGAAGAGAGAGAGACACAAGAGCCGTCAGTCATGTGCCAATGTATGTGATCAAGGCACTCTCTACACACACACACACACTTGTACAAATATTTGCACAACCACTTGTCAACACACGAACCTGAACATTCACCCAACACCGTTTTCCGACGCTGCCCTGAGGGGTCTTTTGTGTAACGACTTTCTTTCACCATTGTAATTGAGACAAGCGATGATTACACGGATATATTTCCATCGGAAGCCGTTTCCAGGAATGCTGACAAATCAATAAAGAAATAATTACACGTGTGAGAAACGTAGCTTTTAATCACCACTTCCGTTACAAAATAAAAAATAAAAAAAAGAGGCGAGCGGTGGGACACTTCACACGGAATTTCACAGCATCACCTCGCGACTTACAGAGATCAAGCAAATACACCGCCTATTCCCCCGATCGACTTATCTTACATCAATTGACGGCGGTGGCTCATTTTCTACTCCTCATCTTCCCTGAGTAAATGACATAATCTAACATGAAGTAATTACCCTGTAATAGCTGGCTCCTGAAATAGAGCCTGTGCTGCTGTATAAATTTGATGTTAAATGAAATAAGAATTCACTCAAAGAAGCCGTTTATTGACTGATGGCATTACCTTCCAACAACCCCCATTTACCAAGCAGTAAAACAACACTAAAGAGTAATCAGTCGCATGTAACGGGTTTACACAGTGTTAAACGTTTTACTGGTCGAAATTAAATTAGTTACATTTTTTTTAACACTTTCGTTTTTATACTTTCGATTCACGTGTTATTTTTTTAGCGCGACAAGGAAAAACACTCATTTGTTCTCAATCAGAACTGAAACGGTTAACAGATTCATCATGATGAGTCGATTAGTAAACCAATCCTCCGCTAATTTAGTAATCAAATAATGAGTGGAATACATAGATTCTAGAAGAGGAAAATTCCTGGGAAAAAAACAACAGTGCAGCAATGAAGCCAAAACTGTACAAACAATACATACACTTTAAGACATTTTGTCTGTAAATATGATCTCAGAAATCCTCAAGTGGTGCAAGTTTAGTTTCACAGGGTAAAAAAAAAAAGAATCTCCAAATAAGCTGTTTTTACTAATACATTTTAATTTTAAGAAACTAAATAAAATAACCAAGACTAACCCTGCACTGCCTTTGCTGCAAATGATCAAGCGTTCACTAAAAGAACACCATGTTATGGTATTTTAGGAATAATAAATGATTATTTGAAAAAGGAACAATTATTTATTTGTATTATTTGCATGTTTTAATACCATCTAAAATTATCTTAAATTGATTAATGAAAAATCTGCAGAAAATGCAATTTTTTTTTTTATCCAGGTAATCGTCAGACTAGTCAAGAGAATAGTTACTAAAATAATCAGTAGATCATTAGATTGACTATTTTAAATAAAATCTTCATTCAAGTTTGAGCTAAGTTATTGAAAAACATTAAAACATTCAAATAAATTAAATTAAATGCAAAGCCAACGCCCTTCTACTTTCTAACCTTTATCACTTTGCCTTAGTTTTATGTCCAACACAGAACCTTGAAAACGTATCCAAAACACCAACTAACATTGTCAGCCTTAAAACGATGGAAACCATATTTTAACAGATTATTATCACTTATCAAACTGCTTATTTTCTCTAATGAACTCTTGCTTATTGAGTTTCTTTCCTTCCAAAATAACTTGTAAATGTCTGAACCCTAAAAGGTAAAATATTAACTACATGAAATTTATTCTTCAAAGCAAAACTATATTTATCCTATATTTTTGCTCAGATAATTGGCATATTAGGAAAACCAGTGATTCCATCATTTATGCGCTTTATTAGGTTTATGTTTTCTAGATTGTGTGGATATAAATGTTCTATTTTTAAATTACAATCTGAAAGAAATACAATTAATCACCCATTTTATTAAAATATATTTCAGTTTGTTAAATATCTTGTTCTTACTAAATGTACTGTCTTTATTAAAAAGAGAAGTCTGTTCTGCCTTTCTAAGGTGTCTAAAATTATGGTGCAACACAATCAGTGTTCTTTACAGGAGGTGGTATGATGCAATAAGATAAATTCTTACTCTTCGAGAACAATTATCAAAAATTGAGTAGAACTGATAAAGAAAAACTCGACTACAACAGAAAATTCAGAACATAAACTAGGAGGGAGAAAATGGAGCTCTGGTCTTTGAGGACTGAAACTAGGAGAGACTGAGCCAGAGGGGACCTTGGAATATGCAGAAAGTCACGTGCTCTCTAGATTTGCATACTTGATGAAAAGAGCCTCTCTCAGTGTGTGTTTCCGAGGTACTCACAACCCTCCGCTTAAAAAAAAAGAGAAGATATCTTTCTCCCCTGGCTGTGTGCTTGAAAACAACTTTTGGTTGGTAAAATACCACGTTGCCAATAACATTCTGCTAAATGACGCTGGATTTGTGCCTCTTTGTATGGGAGAAAAAAAAAAAGGTCTGGAAATTTGGCAATGAACTTGTTGAGGCTTGAATTGATTCCTTTCTCTGGATTTAGGGTTATCTCAATTATGTACAGACAAATAAAACTTCTAAATGAGTCCTCAGTCCTCTTAAAACATCTGCAAGTGGCCCTTCTTTATGTCTAAAATGCCAGAATGTCTATAAAAAAAAATAGGCTTACAAGAAAAAAAAAATTAAATCAATGATCTAGAAACATTTCCACAAATCAAAAACATTGGAGAAAATTAACTAGGAAGATCACCACATGTCGCAGCAGCATGTCTAAAATCTCTTGATACAGATAAAGGCTCTGTGGTCCTGACAGGGTCCCTATTGTACACCATCACCAAAGCATTACAATACTATGGTTATTAAACCAGATATTGGTGCTACAAATCTGGTTTAAAAATGAAATTAAATCAGCATCAACACAAAGCTCGTTAGCAGGGAGAAGCATAAAATGCCCTTAATTTCCTGGCTGTGCTTACTTTGCACTTCATTGTATGCAGTGGACAAACACCAGCAGATGACATGGTTCACAAAACCATCAGTGCCTGTGAAAAGTTCACACTGGATCACTAGAGGCTTGGATTCTGCGTCTCTTCACTCCTCCTTCAAATTTTTGATTTCCAAATGAAATGCAAATTTTACTTTCGTTTCAAGCAATAGCCCAGTCCATTTTCCTATTTGCCCAAAGATGCTGCTTCTGACAAGAGCGACTTAATACAGTGGGCGTGAAAACTTGCATCCCATGTCGTGGATGTCCGTGTGTAGTCACCCTTGAAACACCATGCTTTCCGTCCCTCCTTTCTGCACCTTTTCACATCAACACCCTCAGATTCGGTCGTTTGAAAAGCAAGCTTCTGCAGCAATGATCTTTTCTGATTTCCACTCCTTGTAGCTGTCAAGTCCGCAGTCCTCCCTGCGTCTGTGTAGATCATGACAAGGCTGTAACATCGCATTTCCGTATCAAAACTTCTTTACCCCAGGGATGACCAAGTCAGTCCTGAAGGGTTGGTGTCCTGCATGTTGTAGTTCTGGCACGACACACCCAGGAGATCAAATCACGGCTCATTAGAAGTCGGTGAACATCGACATGCCGAGGAGGCAGCGAACACCCTCAGGGAGAGAACCGAAACATGAGGACCAACTTTGGACTCCTCTGCTCCACATCGTCCTTATGTAATGAAAAAATAACATCTCTTGAGAAACTGAATTTGAGGTTTTGTGTAACATAATCATTTTTAAAATTAACAGACAAAAAAAACGTTTAATAAGTATCAGTAAGATAGATGAGTTATAG